CGGAGAATGACAGCTCCAACAGCAGGACGCAGGACTATAAATAGACGCTGCGTTGAGAGCCCAGGCACCGGATTTTCGAAATTTGTTCATGATTTCCCTCCGTCCAACCAACTTCTAGCAAGACCCGCACCTCTTCTTCTGTGTTGTGTTCAGCCTCGGCGCTGCTTCTTATGTCTTCACTCGGTCAAACTTGGTCTCTTTACTTTCACTTTCTTCAGTCTTTGTCTTTGATTGTCATGCCCTGTTTCTGATCCTTTATCACTCTCTTCAATAATGAATACTCAGAGCGAAGTATTTAACCAGGACTACAGCGTGATTAACATGGTTATAATTTGGAGCAGATTCCAAATGATCCATCTTGTTGCTGTGAAAAACTGCAGAAAAAAACCCAACACTGCTGAATATGATGTGTTTCTCTTCTCCACGTTCGTACCACATACAGATTAAGCAGCATGATAAAGTGTCCTTCACCATCAAGACATGAACAGGGCTGGGATTCTATGGGTGTCTCACTACTCTGTTTTGATTTCGCTTCTTGGGGTCACGATTCGATTGAGAATCTAGTTTCGATTTTTGATTCATGATTCAAAGTCTATTTATGAATTAGTACATACTTCAGGATCTACTCCAGTCATCTGTAAGACTGGCTGAATTTCTTGCTGCTCCATTTGGAATTCTACTCAGTTAAAGAGCTAGCATTAGCACTTAGCAGGGAATGACTTATTAGCCCCCCCCCAAAAAAAAAGAATGAAGATTTTTGGAAGTTTTGAATCTATCTAACATCTCGATTTTAAATAAATCGATTTTTCCCCTCCTCTAGCAATGAACAATCAATAATCACATGGAATATGGGGCGCGCTGGTGGCGCAATGGTTAGGGCGCGCATCCCATGTGTTGAGACTCTCATCTCAAGCGGTAGGCCCGGGTTCACTTCCACCCGTGGCCCCTTTCCGCATGTCATTCCCCGCTCTCTCTCCCTGGTTTCTGACTCTATCCACTGTCCTATCTCTGCATTAAAGGCACGAAAAGCCCCCAAAAAAATCTTTAAAAAAATCACATGGAATATGACCTCCTATAGGTCTCGTTATTTTTTTAATGTGTATTTTTAAACCATACAACCGCCACGATCCTTTTACTTTCACACGTCCTTTACGTATGGATGTTAAAAAATGAATCCACTAGAGGGCGCGGTCTCTGTTCTGTTGTAGTCGTCCGTCCCTGTGTCCGAACGCAGTAACATCAAATATGCAGTTCATATATTCAGTTCCTAACCGACTCACACAATCTGACCTCCACAAAGTTCCTCCTTTTTTACAAAGAATTCTTCTTCGTTGTGTTTTGCTGGTTTCTTGGACTGTTGGCTACACTGCTCGACATTGCCTAAAGATTTTTTGTGGAATTCAATGTTTGGTCACAAGGGTAAGCATCCGTGAGCTTCCAGAAAAGTTGCAGAAATATGGACAAAAATTAACGCAAAGTACGGCTTGAAGGCTCTGTTCATATCCGTATCGAACTTAGCATTAATTAGCCTTAAGAGTCGATTCCCCATAATGAATTAAAAACTCAGATTATTGGTTTTAATATGATAGAGGCTTTAGAGGCAGTTAGCATGTTGGCTTAGGATGTGTAACAAACTCAGCTCCTGTGTGCCTCTATTGTGCAGGCCTAAACACATGACTCATTTTGAAAGATTTTAAGTGAGAATTTAAAGTGGGACCGTCATGATGTCGATTTTGGTCTTATCAAGCAATTTTTCTAAAAATACCAAACTACTGCCTAATTTATACTTGCAAATAGGGCTATAAGGTATTCTGAGCAGACACAACCTATAGCTTGAATGCATTAATCTAAATGATAAATGAAGTGCAGAGCATAGTGTGCTGTAAGGTTCCCTAGATTGTCCCATGAATGCATCAGAAGCACCTTGGGGTGTTTGCTCAAGGACACTCTGAGCTGTCACCCATAAATCTAACCTACAGTGTGATTGCTTTTAGTTCAACCCTGGGAACAAACAATGGGAAATTAATCCAAAAAACTTTTCTTCATAATCAAATACATGGCTACGGAGTAACAGATGTGAGGTACAAATCCCCTGATGCGGTGGTTTGCCACACTCTGCCTCAAGATGAACTCAAACATTCGCAAAAGGGAAAATGAAAGTCATTTAACAACAATCAGGATCACATTGAGAAGCTCTGAGGTCCAACAAGGTGTCAGGGATTGTTTCATTGTGGAATTAATAGCCGACCATTCTTCGAAACTGGAAGCTGAAATCACCCCTTGGCATCCTCTTTTGCCAACTCACATTAATTATTTCAGAATTTGCCTTGTAATCCAGGCTGAGAATCCTACCCAGAACGAATGGGATGTCAGCTTTATGCAACTACTTGTAAAGGCATTACAGGGCGTTAAGTCCCGCGTGGATTTGAATTGGTCTCAGCAGTACAGGATTAGAAGCAGCGGGGATTAGACCTTCCCTGGAGGAAATACAGGAGCAGGGGTGGCCAAGGGATTCAAGATATAGAATACATATTGCTCGATACACTGTCTGCACCACAGAGTTGACACAGGAATCGACTCCACCTCAGTAAACTCAGCCAGAATGTGCTTTATCATTAGCGTACAATAAATCACACTGAATGAGCACTGCTCTGTCGAAAATGAATCAAAACTGCTTTTACAACAGGTATGATAATATTCATGTCTGGAGAAGGAGGGATATGTTGGCCAGAATATGTTTCCATTGTAGTCAGAGTATGTCATCTTAACGTTTTGTCTTAATGTCTGACGATATAGTAATCTCATTCATTCAGCTTATTGGATCATCAGTCTGAGTGTGGAGAAAGACGACCAACCAACACATGGATACAACCAGTGGTGTAGTGGTTCCTGAAGAAGCAGGTATACTCAAAATTTTTCCCCAAATTATTTTTTAAGTGTCCCATCCAGCGGAGAATAAACTGACTCTGTTACTCACTGTGACATAAGACTCCTCTTGTATTTCTAGTTAGTGCATTCTAACCAATTAAGAGACCGAGTAGAGAGGGGCATCCCTTCAACATCCTATAGGAGTTGCAGCATCCTACTGAATATGGCCAATCATTTAATGGTGTGAATCAGAGGGGATTTATAAACCCTATGGAGTATATATACTCCATAGGGTTTATAATTTATGTATACTATAAATTAATGGGTATACTCAGTAGATCTGCGTATCCCCTGCACTACTACACCACTGGATACAACAGTCATGAGCGAGGGCTTTAAAATGAGCGATGAACGTCAAAGCTCCATGATATACAATGACTAGAGAATGTAAGCTTTAGAAAATAATTTTCTGAAATAAGAACCCAGTTTTAGTTTTAACCTCTTTACCAGCTGAGGATTACACACTGATGAAACATTAATTAAAATACCATGATATCTGTAGTTAGAAACAGACTTTATCTTCCTATCCTTCAAATTGAATATAAAATAAATGTTCAGTGGCTTATATTGCATTTGAAAACAGCACGACTTTTGTCTTGTCTTTTTTCCACTCTATTATAGTTTTAACATGCATACAAAATGTGGACAGTGGAACAAATGTATGAGTTTGTACCTCAGTGGTTATTAAGAGCCATCCTATGCAAGAAAAACTGACCCCCCCCCCCCCCCCCATACTGACAGTAAACATACTGACCCACTCATCCATTAGCAACCTTATGTGATTGGTGGCACACACAGAACCTGAGCCCAGTCTGGCAAAACAGTCGACCACCATGAGCATGTTACAGGCAGTAGGTTATTCTGTTAGCTGATAGCCAGGAAGTGAGTTGGAAATGCAGGATCTCTCAGGATGAACCCAGAGCTGCAGGGGATGGGAGAGGGGTGGCCGGTGTCTCCCTGGCGCCCACATACTGAGCTGGAGTTGAAGAAGAGGTGGACAGACATGAGGCAAATATACTACTGCTGGAAGTGAAAGGGACAGGTGCAGGCTACAGACATTTTTAAACAACAGAAAGTAAGCGTAACCTTTTGTGTTTCAGCCTTCAGAAGCAGCTAAATCACACAGCTAATGGAGCCATTTCAAAAACTTTGGCGAAATGTACCATAGAACCACAGGTCCCTTTCAGGGCCCATAACTCGGTGAAATCTGACCACACAGAGATAACACACTCGTTTTTATATTCAAGGTGACTTACCCTTTCTGGTGATATCAGAGTCTCTCATGTCCATTACATAGATAAACTGTTAATAGTAAATTCGGCATCAGTTTTGACGACAACCTTTCAAACATTTTGGGAATGAGAAATGTTTTTCTTCTCTAAGTGGTATTAGCTATTGAAAAAAAAATCGGATAAAGGTGCAATATCGCCACCTACTGGACTGGGGTATGGCGCAGTTGGATTCAAACAATTGAATCCACTCTATTGTTTGTGTTACACTGAATTAATGAGAAGATAGCAAACTTTCAATGATGTCTGCCTTAGAGGGTTACCCTGTCTAATACTTGTCCAGTAGCCTGATGATTAGCCTACTGATAACTGATAAGCCTGATGGGGCGGCAGTAGCTCAGACCTGGGGGGACTGAAGGGTTGCTGGTTCAAGTCCTGATGCAGACCATAATATGGAAGTTGATCTGGCAGCTGGAGAGGTGCCAGGGCACATACAATTGAAAAATAATAGTTTATTATTTTCTGAACTTTTGCTATAGACTGCCTCATGGTACTTGTCCTCATGGTATAATCTTTACGTCAATGAAGCGTTTGTTTATCCAAAATATGAAAGAAGAAGCCCATCTTCTTTTTCGTCTAAGGTCTTACTAAGAGCTGCAAAACAATGTAAACTTTGTGACTTTGCAAGGAAATTACAAGAACCTTATTTGTTGATGTATTTCAAAGAGCCATTTTAATTTGTAAGTCTGTCGGTCCAAAGAGGGGGGGTGGGGGGGGGAATTGATTCCATCCTTATAATCTTCCTATATTCAGTGGTTGCTTAATAAAAGACATGAATACAGATTTCAGTTCTATGCAATTTTTAACCAGCAAAGTTTATTTATATATAACAACAGTACAAAGTGAATCCTTGGCTTGCAAAATAGGTGTGCTTCATATTTACAATAGGTACACAATAATATATTATCATAACAAAACCAAAGCAAATAAAAAAAACAAGAGAACAACCTTTTTTAAATACTTTAAGTTTCTTACAATTTTTCACAACACTTTTATAAAACAAGAACAGACAGCCATTATTATTATCGTCATCGTCGTCGTCATCATCATTGCCAGTAAGTACTATTTTACAGAACTCCAGTGTCTACAAAGGGTTTGTTTACAATGTGTTTTAAATGGAAGGATACTCGTTTTATACTTGGTGATATTTTGACTTGAGGGTAATATATTGATGTGGATTTCAGTTCCCCTGTTTGATGTGATAAAAGCAAACAAACAAAAATAATTCAGATTAAATGTTTCGTTTCATATAAAGGAATGACACATGCCAGTCAAAACTACAAAACCATCTCTTCGGCAACACGTTACACTGAGAGCAGAAAAAGTGCACAAAGCATCTTCAATTAGCAGTCAGCTTGAGCTGAAATGAGGTTGTTATTATGAGCGTCTATCCATATTTCACTACACTGGCAGTCAAATGGGATCTGAGCTGCAGGAAGAGTAAACAAACTTTGTCTCTTCTCAGTTCAGACTGAATTCAAATGTTCCCATCAGTGAGTGTACAGCATGGAAACGAGCTCTAACTAGTCACAAAGAATCTCTTTCACAAAATAAAAAAGGTGCATTCAGCTGTGATTTAAGACGTGGTACAAAATGGGCTTTCGGTAAGAATTGCAGTCAGACTAATGATGGAGTGGATCAATATGAAATACCAAGCAGAACTAAAGCGTGATATTAAAACGCATGCAAAAAAATCTCACACAAGACAAAAGGAAACATCCTGATAGAAATTATCTCTTGAGAGGAAAAAAAAAAAAATCGAAGCCACTCTCTAACCAATCAGTGTGCCTCTGATTATGTTGTCACATTTCGGAGTCCAGGGGAGCTCATCTTGGAGTTGGAAAGACTCTATTAAACATACAATTCATCCCTTGCAAAAGGAAAAAAGGCATTTAGGTCCTGTTAAAAATGATAAAAAGCATTACTCCATACAAGCAATGTGAGGTATGAGGAGGATACAATTCTATTCGCTGAAATTGGGAAGACACCTTAATCAAAAGGAAGAAGTTTTGTGTGTGTACTGTTCTATGTGTCCCATTGTGTACCTGTAGATTTTCATTATGGGGTTAGTGAGTAAGAAGAGGCTTTTTTCACAAGAGGGGAAAAAAAGTCCAACTTCTCTTTCCCCGCTGCTGCCCCTACTGGTCAGACACAGTAACAGCGTGTCAATCACCACCTCATCCTACATTTCTCCTTGCCTGTTAGTTTGATGTTTTTTTTTTCTTCTTTCCATCTCCTGATCTCACTGTGCACACAACCAACTCAGATCAAAGAGCAGCTTCAAAGGCCGAGCAGGAAACCAGAGCTAAAGGGGTTCTCTATCCCTCTCTCTATCCCTCTCTCTCTCTCTCTCTATCTACCTTTCCCCCTCTCCTCATTTCTCGACACTTCTCTTCAAATGGCTCAGGCGAGTCGAGCTCTGGAAGAGGAGACGTCTGCCTGAGCCCGGCCCGTATAACCCTCTTCACCTTTCCTTTTACTTTATCTCGCTGAGACAGTTTTCAGCGGAGCGGTGCAGCCGTGGTGAGAAACCGTTGGGGTCCAGAGCACGGAAAGGAACCGTGCCCGAGTCGAGGACTAATAAGATCAAGAACACTAAGCAGGTGGGTATCTAAGGCCACAGAGAAAAGAAGCACCTTTCACTTACTACTGGTGTTTGTCATGCTCTCAAAAACACAATTGCAGTACACTGTGCAAACCTTTAATACCACCTATTTTTCAAGTACTTGATGTAAACAACAAGCAAACATGGATCTCGGAAGAAAATGAAACCACCTATCCAGAGGATGGAATCTACAGTTTTCTGTCATCCAGCTAGAAGGATGGAAGGTTTACATCAGCCTGTAGCTTGTGATGTTTTGGTTTTAAGTCAGGAGAGACACACACACAACATGAAATATACACGTTTATGTTTTTATGATCTCTTTTCCCCATGCTTATGTTTCGTACCTTTCTTGAGTTTCAAAACTCGCCCACTCTCCCAGATATGGAAGCCTCAACTTGAACCAGCTCTACACCAAAAAAAAAAAACAAGAGCTTTTCCCCCTCTGTAAAGCATAAACCGATATTTTGACACATTTAGTGAAAATTTGGAAACAACAGCAACTTTTGGCACTTGGTCAATATAGATAGACCCGCTCAGCTAGGCTTCTTATTGACTGTGCGAGAACATGGGTGGTGGTCAACCGTCCAACGAGATCTGACGCTACTCATTGGCACTTGATAAAAATCAAAGATGGACCCTTGGAGCACATCTATCTGTGATAGCATGCGCATAAGGTTGACATAAAGTTGTTCCCTAAGAGCAAAACAGTGGTGATTAGTGTGATGTGTTCTAGCCTACAATAACCTATTCATCATACTCACATGGCGGCCATTTTCCTCGAACGTCAAACTCAGGTTGGGAAGCAACAACCGCTAATGTTAGCATTGAGCAAGTTTCAGACAACAACTGAAACTGAAGGTAAAAATATAATGTTTCATAACACCACTCAAGTATTATTTTTCAGCTACTTTCAAGCTAACAGGGTTATAAGCTTAAAAGTCTAGCTAAATGTTAGCATTCAGCCACTTTGCAGCAAACAGTAATATTAGCTTAAAGGAGCTAAATGTAGACATTTAGCTCCTTTGTAGCTGAATTACTTTAGCTAGAAAGTAGCTAAAGAAGTACTTTAGCTGTTTTCTGGTGGTAGCCTACAGAAGCCCTTTTATTTTACTCTGTTTTCCTCTGACAGCGGGTACTTTCCAGTTGTTTTCTCAAGATCTTGAACTTATTTCAACATCTTGAGGTATAAATTAGTTTTTCTTGTAATCCCAAGTTAATTTCTCAAGTTTTGAGAGAACGACTGAAATTAACTCGTCATCACAGGAAAACCAGCCTGAGATAAAGAGATAAAATAACGAAATGTACTTTTTATCACGGTAATATAAAATGTATGTCCGCAAAGGGCTTCTGAAGGTATGAAACCAAGTATTTTGTTGTTGTGATTTTTGTTTTTCAGATGCTAAGCAATCAGGAAGCACGAAATGGATACAATTTGTGAGATTTTCTACATTTACACGATTTGCAACCTTGAACACTATAACATCATCGACAGCATTTGTCGCATCCCGAGTGTGAAGCCAGAGGAAAACGCTGCCAATAGAATATGTTTAATTGCTGTTGTTTGTCTCTGCTAACCGCTAGCTGTACATACTGTGCTGTATGAGCAGCGGTGCTAGCCACATTGAGGGTAAATAATGTTTGGGAAGCAGTAGGAGGGTTTAGGGCCAGGACGGACAAATGAAGCTGTTCACTAGACGAGCTAAAGCAAATATCTACAGAGCTCAGTTCGACTGAGCCCCCTTTCTGTTTGCAAAACTCAAATAGACATACAGACAAAAAAAAATGTGTACATTCACATACACTGATTGGCAACTGGTACATACATAGATGACCTAACTGCTGGACAAAGCCTTGAAAACCAGAGTGATGCTGATTTGAAGGTAGTCCTCTAAATACACTTCTTCTCTATAATCCTCAGTTTAGGTGCAAGCATGCTGGCTGAACCGTGACCACCACGAGTGGAGATCTGTTCACTCTTAGATGATGAGCACATAGTTTCATGTTTCCTGTACACTTCTGTTTGGAGAAGAGGTTTAGTCCGTGTCGTGTGAAGCATCAGTCCAACGAGGGGATGAGTGGGAGAAGACGTGGGCCTGTGACACCACCCCTCATGTCGCGTTACACTCTTTATGTCTTTATACAACATGTATGGGGATCCTGTGTGGTATATTTCAACTGCAACTGATAATATTCAAATGTACAAGTACAAAAATAAAAATCTGAACGCCAACTCAGCTGTCCAGCTTGAGATCTGTCTTCTTCTTCTTCTTCTTCTTCTTAAACTTGTGTCCGTTTCACACTCAGAAGTGAGTAAAGAATAAAATCTGTTTCTCAATTTGCTGAGGAGTCTTCTTCTGCATGACACAAACACACACTCGTGCACACACACACACACACACACACACGCACACACAACATACAATTTCCTGTGAAACTGAGAGAAAATATCCTTTGAGAAACAAAAAAACGAAAAAAAATAAATAAATACAAGCCATGTTGATGCCTCCTCTGCTGATGTTCCTCCTCCATGCCATTATCAGCCCCAGCTGCAGGGCCCGGGTTTATTATTAGTCTGTGGGCTCTGAGCTGGTGCCGACATGGGAGGAGGCGGAGAGAAATACAAAGGAAAGCAAGTTGAAGTCTGTACGGCTGCGGATACAGAAAGGTCCCAGGTCTGGCTCACGGTTTCAAGCTAGCTCCCCAAAGATGAGAGGTAAGTAATGCCGGACCCTGTTTTTTTTGGGTTGGTCCTTACAGATTATGGTCCCTTCTCTCTGACTCTCAGCTCTCGTAGGACATGGCGGAGATGAGCTGATCCACCTTGTAGGCTAACCTCTGCTTCCTCGCCTGTTCGTCCTGCTCCAGAGCTGCTGTGATCTGTAGAGAAGACAAAACTGTGGTCAAATACCGGCAATAAAAAAAAAATACACTGCATCCTTATAAATCTGATAACTACAGAATTTAACATATTACTTAAAAAAGTAATCTGCATCACCAAAATCAGACATTTTTGAGCAGTATTTATTGAAATTGAAAGAAAACAAAGCCAATGATAATTTATTTTTAATTTACTTTTTGAGTTTTTATGCATTTATTTAAAAACAGGACAGTGGTTAACATCAGGAATCGGGAGAGAGAGTGGGGAATGACAAGCGGGAAAAAAAGCCACAGGTCGGATTCGAACTCAGGCCGCCCGCTTTTGAGGACCCCAGCCTCTGTACATGGGCGCATGCACTAACCACTATCCAACCACGTTCCTCTGACTCTCTGGCTGACACAAGATCTCAGGAGTTAAGCTAGTTGAGCTACTTTTCATGATAGTAATTTTCAGTGTACAGACAGTCAGGCTTTAATACAATCACATTCATACAGGGTAAGTCGTAAAGCCTAAAGCTGTTAAATAATAACAAAAGACTGTTGATTTAACCACACTGGTATCAGACAACACTGAAGTTTAGGTTTAGGAAACAGAACAGCAAATAAAAATGGGATCCTAACACGTCTGAGAGGAGCCTGCTCTGCCGCTTTCTATACGGACGTCACATGAAAGAATAATAAGAGAGTTACATCACCGCCTTTGTCTGTGACAACACCGTGGAATATTTGTGTATTAGCCTTTCCCTTTTTATCTTCTGCGCCCGTTTCTTGTAAATTTGGCATTTGTCAAAGAGGTTCAAAAGGGATTCAGACAGGCTCCCTCTTCATTCTCTCATCTAGTGTCTGCCTTGTCAGGGCGGATATCAGTCAGAGTGACACCAGCACACATGGCAAAGGCCTTTAATATGAATATAAAGCAGGGGGGAAATATATTACAATATGGGCCACGTCTATATTACCTCTGATACGCATCTCTGTACACAAACACTGCAGCCTTTTTTTTTATCAATATGATGTTTCTGGTGTGGGCACCTGTTTGGCTCTGTGAACCCATTTAACACTGCGCTTCACTACGAGAAGGAGCACAGTGTTTGAGTGAATAATTGATGATCCAAAAAAAATGAATCGGCCACTCTTATGCAATGTGTCATTAAGAATATTTCTGCAGGAAGAGATGAATAATAAAAGACTTTAAAGGAAGAAAGTGTCACCCAAAAACCCACATTTTTAGATTATGCAAGGGCTTTTTTTTCCTGTCTAAGATATCGTGTTTAGTCATTTATTCACACACGTCAATCAGAAGCTATTCAGCTTCATTTTTTTGTTTTTTACTGCGTCAGTTTGTTTGGATGTGCTGATTTTGTGTGTTATCTTAATCAGGTTCCTTTTCAGTTCCTGGTTAAAAAAAAAGGTTAAATAAATCCAGGAATTGAGAATAAATACAACAAACACAAAGTGTAGTATTCGTTTTTGTTCTTTCAATAAGGTCTGCAGGGTTGAACGTCATTTCAATCAGATGTTTTAGGGCTTTTTTGTTTGAGTGGACTTTTTCAATCTTCCCTCCAGTAAAAAGTTCGCCTGCAACATTCTTCTTCTTCTTTTTCTGCATAGCACGGCAAAACCTTTTGTTTGCTCCCTGTCCTGTTGCAGAACACACTCTCCGTCTGCCCACCTATCATCTTCCTCTCATCTGCTTAAGTGCTCTTAAGGCTTGGCAGCTACAGGCAGAGCGCTTCCTCCTCTTCATCGTGGCCCGATAGCGATCTATTATTAATCTGCGGCACTGCATGCAGGTGCAGCTCCCACTGCCATCTCCCAAATCCATTTAAGTAGGCTGCGGCTGGGGCCCCCGGTGAGCCTGACACCAACCCTTTTGTGAAGGGCTGAGTAAGAATGAGCAACAATGTTTTTATTTTTTTTCTTAACACACTGCACTCTGGGGAGATGGCAGATACTGCAGGAGTGATGGGGTGACATGTGCAGAGTGCATGTGCAGTAAAAATAAGAGGGTTTTGCATATGTCTTAATGCATGTGTGCATCAGACGGCTACAACTGCAGAGGCAGCAAAAGTGGGCGTGTGAGATTCATGGGGAGCAAAGGGGGAAGCTGACTGGATAATGGGGGAAAAGAGGAGGACTGTAAAGGAACGAGGAAGAGAAAAGAGGGAGAGAGAGAGAGAGAGAGAGAGAGAAAGAGAGTGCGGTACAACATAAAGGTCAGGCTAATGCTTCCCAGAGGAGGAGCTGACATTAGAAGCAGAATGTCTCTATAAATACGTCCTCCATCCCTATCTTCCGCCCTCCTCTCTACGCTTCCTGTGATCTGACAGTGTGTGTGTGTGTGCGTGTAAATGTGTGTGTGTTGCCCATGAGAGCCCTATATAATAGATAGCCCACACTAACTCAACACTGCAAAATGACAGCGCGGCATGCTGAGAGCTTGTAGATATTCACTTTCTACTCAGCGGATCAGACGCAGCGTCTTGTTAAAGCTCCGGTCTCAGCAGGCCTCCGGGCTTTGGGGAAGTCTACTGAAGACTCTGAGCTGACCTCACTAACCTTTTGACACTTGATGTACGGTCTGGGAACAAAGAGGCCAACATACACGTGCGCCTAAAAGTGTGCAGCAAATACGAAGCACTCCTTTTTTATGTTCAATTTGCGCTCTCAATCTGCCCATAATTAGCGGCTGATTCAGTGAGGCAGCAGCTCATTACGGAATCAGCGCCTGGGACTGCCCTCCAGGTAGAATCTGCAAGTGGAGGAGATCAGTATGTAGTGCAGAGGACGGGGGGGACGGGGGTTTATCTGAGATCACATAGCTCTGGAAATTAATGACGCTGCACAGAAATAGAAGCATTTAATGAGGGCAAGGTTCACCCTTTACCTGAGAAAACATCGGTGCCTTAACTATACATTTTAATAAAACTTGTTTGTAGGAGTTTATGCTATTAGTGCAACAGGAGACATTAAACGGAAAAAGTCAAACAAGAGAGGAAATGAGGGGAATACAGAGAGAGACGGACAAAAAACAGAGTGAAATGGAAAATGTCAGAGCAGAGCAGTCGAAGGATGGAGATTGTTTTTAAAGAACACGGAGGTCAATTTCTTATCTCACTTAATCAGAAAACAGCCCTACCAGTAAACGTCATGGATACTGAATTATAAAAAAAGATCTGAAACTTTAAGAGCTGGTCTCATTGGAGGCTTTTAAGATGATTTTAAATGACTTAGAGGCTCTTTATGTTCTGCAGAATGTATTATGTCTTGTAATGTATTATAGTCATGTATTTGGTGTTATACTTGTATGCTCGTTGTGTGTTTTCTCCTGGCTAAATAATGGTGAATTTAAAAAAAAGAAGAAAGGAAACTATTGTCCATAGGGTGAAAATTTCTCATAATTTCCCCCCCAAAATTGTATTTTTTTAAAGAATTATTTTTGATCTTTTTGCCAGGTTGGATTTGAACCCGGTGACAAGAACCCTCTGTTCAAGCGGTGAGACCAAACCACTAGGCCATCTGTGCCCTGGATAATCTTTAAAAAAAAAAAAACATTCTTATTGATTCATTCCTATTTGATTATATCTGAAACATAAGTGCATTAATGTTTTTTCAACAAGTGGTCACAGCAGCCATATTTTGTACTCTTGTTAAAAAAAAAAAACTCTATTTGGCTTTTCCTTCACAGGAAGTCAATTTCTTGTTCTTCTTGATTGATTTTACGTGTGAATAGGATATAAACTAATAATTAAAATCATAGAAAAACACTCAAGAGCTTATTAGCACACACGAAAACAAACTAACCAACTTTCTTGATTTCCTTTGGTTTGATTCATAACATTCAAAAGCTGCTGACTCCATCAAAACAAAGTTCATCAGTCACCCTGTTAGGTTGTGTGTGTGTGTGCCAGTAAAAGGGAAACATCACTCACCTCCTCACTGTACTTGCTGATGTACGAGTAGATCTCGTTGAGAGCGCTGAGCATGTTGAACTCTGTGGAGTGCAGTCTGGCCTGCTCTGCCAAATAAGCGTTCATGTCCTGGTCGCTAATGGCTGGCAACCGGTTGATGTCGGCGTAGTACCTGAGGGGGGGGGAGGGGGGCAGAAGAGACTCAGAAACTCTCAGAGTCGATGTAATAGTCCAACTGAGATCTACATTTTTTTTAAAGTCTACTTTTTGAGGCACAATATCACTTTCACTACCCATGAAAACCTGAAGAGTCATTCACAGGGGGCTTTTAAAGAATAAAAATGAGAAGTGTAGACAAGAAGAAAGAGACTTATGAATCAATTTCTCCAAAGATTCCAGTAAGAGGATACAAAAAGACGTGACTGAGGGGATCAGAATGGTTAGTAGTTTCTTACCTCTCTACCCAGCTCTTATAATTGGGGATATCTTTAGCGTAGAGCAGCTTATTGGATGGGGAGTCTTTGCCCAGGCGGTGCTCTGAAGTGGAGCAAGAATCCATGAAAGTCTGAGCGACGACAGACAGGCAGGCGTCCGTTATGCTGCTCTTGTGGATGTCAAACACAAACTGCGGGTTCTTGATCACATTCACCCAGAAACGCAGCGGAAGGCTGGAAGACGGAAACAAAGGGAATAAGTAAGAGTCTCTCATGGTTAATGAATACTCCTCCAGCTGAGCTGTGATCCTAAAAATAGAATCATCATGTCACACTGGAGCAGTTATGACATCATATGAGGACCTACTTTTTCCTTTGGTGATATTAATCTTGTGTCTCTGAAAGGAGGTCTTACCAGTTGCTTTTCCACGTGTGGCGTACGTCCGTGTCGTGGATTCCGTGTTTGTCCGCCTGCTCGTCCAGGAAGTCAAACATGTACTTGATGGCGAGGGGGGAGAGTGCTCCCTCTGTGAACCGTGCTGAACAACGTCTCGAACAGATCGTCCACAAATTTTTGTAGCGTACCCTGAAAGAAAAGCAGCGAACAAAGGTTAGTGAGTCGTGGGCAACGAGAGGCAACACTTGACCCAAAGGGCGAATGGAATATCTTCACTGAGCATGAAACTAAACGGGTTACGATGTGTTGACCAGAACCCGACAGATTAATCGTCCAGCTGATAATATCGGCCGATGTAAGGATATCAAGTTACTAACGGTATCGGCTTATTTTATCGTGATTATTGATTTATTCACCAGTCACATAGCATTTAATTTGAGTATCATTGTATTACACAAGCAGTTCTGTTTCGCCAGCAGAGGGCGCTATATGGATCATAACAAGCATTATCACTCTCCAGAGTGTCATGTGGTAAAGCACATACATGCCCAGTTACTTTCCAGTTTAGTGGCCATCTTGTCTCTTTTTTATAATTGTCTGATAACTGCATTTAAGGGATCAATGCACAAAATGTACGGATCTATATCTATGTATCTCTACAGATCGATGATAGATCTAAGAAAGATATTGGCCGATATATCCGATTTTTGTTTTCGGTATCGGTCGGAAAAATCCCAAATCAGTCGGGCCCTAGTGTTGACATATGTCTATGGCAGGATATGAATATACCTTTGTAGCTAGCAGCCTGGTCAGATAAATCTCAGAGACCATCTTGCTGCCTCGATCTCCCTCCTTCTGGTCTCCATGTTCGTGGTTCTTCACCAGGTGCCACACCTTCACTCCGCTTTCTAGATCAGGAGTGATCATGGGAGCGCGTGAACGCAGGCTGTCGGGGCTGCCCGTGTATCGGAACGAAGAGTCTGTACGGAAAAATAAAAACAGAGAGAGAGCGAGAGAGAGAGACACAGAATTTAATATCAGCCGAGACTAAATGATTATGAAAAACAAACGCTGCTCCAAGGTGGAGCTGAGACACAAGTTAAGCAAACATTAATAACTCCAACAGCAAGTCCACGTTCTCTCACAGGCACTTTTAAACTCTATTCCACTGCTCCTCAGTGTCTCCTCACAACTCTTCCTCCAGCTCTATGAAGGAAATGTATCATTTTATAGAAGGAAAACAGTAATGAGAAGGAAGAGAAGTTGCGTTCCCTGGCATCACCTCAATTATCAGTGGCTTTCTTCAAACTGGAATCGTAGATGACACATAAGAAGGGCGGAAAAAAAGAATTTGCCACACACTTGTCATATTTGTCTTATTGAATATAGAAAGCCACATTAACAGCAAAAGTACCTGGAACTTTAAGTCCCAAAAGCCACTTTCAAAAAGGACCAAACAGTTCCTCAAACACATCTTAGATCTTTGTACAAAGATCTAAAGAGAACAAAAAGCCATGCCATCTTAATCAATATAAAGCTGACAGACGCAATTCAGCATCAAGGCCTTTTCTGATTTCCCCCCATGCACTCTCACCTCTTTAAGTAGTCAGCTAACTGGTGCATAATGGGGAAACTGGCAGCACATACTTCCTCACAGACTAGTTAATATTTAAAGATAAGTTGGAAACACATCCAGACAGTTAGAAATTATTGCTGATCTGCCGGTCTTTAAAATGCTACGACTACTTAGATGTTTAGCGCTAAAACGCCCCTCCCAGAAGTCCCTGAACTTTTTGGAAAGTTCAACCCCTGGAACAGGGACCTTTTGGGGTTTACATTTAAGCCCTATGGACTTTATTTCACCCCGTCTTTCTTTACTGTGGTTACCTTTATTTAGACCCTGGTCTCTGCAGTGGAAACACAATGAAAAACCTCAAAGAGACTTGCTCTCTGGGGAAAATCTTCGCTGTGGAAATGTATTGGTTTTAGGACAAAGATTCTCTATGTCCTTCTTGCTTTGATTTTTTTTCATTTTCTACTCTCATTTTAAACATCTTCCCCCTCCCCTCTCTATACAATCCCTGCCTCTCTGACTGACTGAGACATGCTTGCTGCTGGCATCTCTTGAAAGCACTTGTAATTGGCTCTCCCCTGCCATATTGTACCAGCGTCGTGTTGAAAACGTCCCTGTCACACTCTTATCAATGCATCAAAAGATCTTCAATTTGTTAAGCACGGACATGACCCTCCTTCATCCATACATCCTCCTCATCTCGGCTCTCGTGTTCCTGCCTCCTCCTCGCTGCGTCTGAATGATACAGGTTTCAGTTTCTCTAATTAGCCGACAACTCCTCCTGGCAGCCGGATCTCTGGAGCTTTAAGGATCTGAGGATCTCAAGGAGGATCTCTCTGACCCGGTTTCAAAGGCCGAGATGAACAACAAAGCTTTCTGCTACTGACGCAGACACTTACACCTTTCAAATAAAACCAACCTGCGCCTCCAGACTCACCACAAGGGTGTGTAAGGTTTGAGCAGGCGGGAGTTGGAAATATGAACCTGAGTGCAAGAATGGACCGAGGTCACAAATCCAATCTTAATCCAGCACTGCTATTTCCTCATCCCTCCAGAATCTTCAGTTTTTTACCCTCTAACCAGAGACAGCAACAGAATGAAGTACAACTCTTTGTTTTTAGGTATCTGCACTTAGCTTAGGCAGTATTTATTCTGATGTAACACTTAATTTCGCATATTTTAACCGACACATGAACTTTTTACTCCTTCAATGTAAGAGCATGGATCCTTACTTTAGTTTTACTGTGTTAACCATAGATCTTTGTACGCCTCCTTCATAACATCTTCAATGATTCTAACCTTAAAGGATAGAATAATTACATGTAAAAAATAAATAAATAAAAAATATCTGCACTTCTACTTGAGCAAACAAAGTGTGCATGCTTCCACCTCTGATTACACAAAGCCTGGTTGTAGTCCCAGGCTTTTGGACACATCCAGGCAGTATTGTGGTGTGTACTGGCTGATTTTAAGGCTTGAACGGGGCAGGTGGGGGGAGGGGGGAGATGGGGGGGCCTGGGGTTTCAAATTGAGTCAAGATGCTAAGTGTTGAATGGTAAATTGGTATGAATCCATCAGCAGGTGTCGGGGTGCAGCTGTGGCTGCTGTGCCAACCCATGATTGATGAGGGGACAGGAACATGCCAGCGGAGCCGCCCGCTTTTTATTCCATGCACGTTCAACGCCTGAACACTTGTACCCCCCCCCCCCACCCCCGCCCCACCACCACCCCAAAAAAAAGAAGAAAAAAGAAGAATGCAGGAAAGTGGTGCCTCTCAGCGGCTTATTGCAATTTCCTGACGGATAAAAATATCCCTAGAGACCAGGATGTTGGAGAGTATTAACATGTAAAAGTCTGAAGTTGTAGCTGTGATTTTAAAATAACAAATCATTTAGGCAATTATATTCTCCGTTTTGTTACATTTAAGCTTTTATTTGTTCACCATAATTTGGTACTCCATCACCTCTTAAAATGTTGTCATTGACAATATTTGATGAGTTATTTTGCAGATTTTGAAATAAATTTTTTCATAGTTAAAACACGAAGGATGAAGGTGTTTTTGACGTTAAGAATCTACAGGTACCCGAGCCTTAATAAAACTATTTAATTGCTTAGAGGGAGAAGGCTGCTGTGAGCTCTCTGTCTGTGTTGTAAAGCCAGCCTTCAATTTCCCTCCCCTATCCTGATAATTGGCCGTGCTCACTTATCTGTCTGTGTTTGTGTGAAGTATCATTCACACAGAATAATTAGTAATCACAAGTCGCCTCGTGCTGCTGCGTGTGTCTGGAAAGGAACCAAAAATTGGCACCCAGCAGCCCGAAAACTACAAGAACATCTGACGCGTGTGCGTGCGCTCGCATGCATGTGTGTCTGGCCCTGCACAGAATGCATCTTCATTACAATAACAGGATGGCTGGGAAACAGTGGCTATATCTCTCGCTTCCCTCTCCCCTTCATCTCTTTCTCTCTATACTCTCTTCCTTGTTGTAACATCCAACAGAGTTTGGACCTGAACTGAAAAGCAAACTGCAGCACACACAGCTGGAGAGAGAAAAAGGTTTGGAAAATACCAGAAAAAGAAGAGCAGCTCCAAACCGAGCTGACCATGGCTTTGGGGAGAGTATATTTGGCTTTTGTTCATATGTGAAACCACCAACATTAATAAACACCTTTTGATGTGTCTGTAAGACACAAAGAGCACCAAGATCTCATTTGCATGGGATTCACTTTAGAGTGACTGCTGAATAAGCCTGCAAATGCATTCATAATGATGTATGGCATTTTGCAAATCAATGTATCAATCGATGTGAAAGCTTGAGCATTTTGTTCTATTGACTCACCATATCTGCTGATGGAGGAGCGGGATATGCTGGCTGAGGAGGGGATGTTGTATGATGAGGTCTGTTTGGGCACCAAAGCCACCACGCAGCGGTCTGACACCTGTGAGAAGAGACACATGAAACGTCAATCAGCTGCTGCATATTCCAATATCCATACATTAAGAGTACTGTAACTCTTCCCCCCCAACGTGTATGACAAATGTGCTCACAAACAGTCCAACATGCTGCGGCATGATGGTTCTCTTTGTCTTTTTGTACTTCATTGCGCTGTCTTTCCTGAATTAATTAAAAAATGCTGATGCTAAGTTGGAGATGCCTACATAGCCGGGTTTCAAATTGTGCAGTGGACCCTCAACAAGAGATCTTAAGTCCTTCACCTTGACTTTTCCAAGTGAACCTACAGTAAGTCAGGTTTTAACACACGGTAATGGTGTTTCCCAGTCAGAAGCTGCCAAGCTTTAGACGGTCTCCCAAATACGCCTGAAGTCTTTGGACTGCAACATGAACTTTAATTAATGAAGGGATTTAACTGCCATCACATTAATGTCTTTGTTAACAGATTAAGGGATAACAAAGTCACATATTTGAGCAACTGTGCCCCCCTCTAACGTTTATAGTAAACGCTAAGACAAATGAAAGTTCACCAATGTCACCCCAAATAACGGTGTAACACTAGCATGCATTTTTGGCTGTAAAGACCCACAATCCTTTGTGCTCTGTAAGTAGCATTGGATGAACCACTGAGAGAGCACTGATGAATCCTTAGACTAGGTGCGATGTATGTACAGTATGAATCAAAGTTCAATTTGTAAGTAGTAAGTCCTATTTGTATGCAAAGTTCACACTTTGCTCAAAACTATTCTAAGTGAGTAATGTTATGTAATGTTAGTATAAAAGGGTACAGTAGACTACATGGGGGAAAAGTGAGGCCGTCAGTGAATAGAACCCCTGCACCACCCCTCCCGTTCCGTCATATCTCCTCTCCCTGCTGTTCTCCAGGAGCAACCCTGTGGCTTTTTTTTTTTTTCCTCCACAGCCGAGCAGAGTGCTGCGGCTGCATGATGGCTGTACTCAACACCACTGTCATTGTCATCCCCTTCACAAACATTAGAGACATGATGTAAGCTTTGGAGCTGGGATAAGATGCTAGAGAGAGAGAGAGAGAGAGAGAGAGAGAGAGAGAGAATAGAGGATGAAGCGTAGAATGCTGAACGTCTCATCTCGTGTACACTTCACACCCTTTAAGAAAAACAGGGGCACGGAGGTTTAATAATAGCATCAGAGCAGCATGAAGTCAGGGTCAAAGAGGAAAAGAAAAGAAGAAGAGAAGAGGCTGTGTGAAAGATTTTGCGTCAAGTTTATGAGACATAAATTGAGGATCATCTTTTTTTCCACCCTGTGCGGTTTATGTTTACAAAGAGCTGTATTATGAGCTCCTTTAGATTCAGAAGCGATGCAAAGACATTTTAAACGGATATGTTTAAAGACAGATTCCGCCTTCAGAGATCCTTCAGCCGTCTCACAATGTCATTAAATAATCATGAAACTGCAATTAAATTCGACTTAGTCTTTGAAAAGCTGCAACTCTGAGTGCACCAAAACATCCCCTTTTTCAGATAAAAACACAAAAAACCCAGCAGAAACAAAAACTTGTGGTTCTTTTCAGGGAGCCAACACAACAAACAGCTTGTTGGCTGGCATTTAACAGCCCACCCTGAGGAGGGATTTCAGCTTCAGACCCGGCAAAGAAAAAAACGGACGAGCCTCCAGTGGAGAAATAAACCAAAAAAAAAAGGCAAATGCCAGGCTCCAAAAGGAGTACCTCAAAGAATCTACGGGAAAAGCAGAAAATTCCTCTTTTCATTGGCTTTTAGCAGGACTGGGCTCTTGCCGTCTTTGTTGGAGAGACAGAGCTTGTGGACGTTGGGATTGGCGTGTACATAGTTCTTCCTTGCTATTGAGCGCCAAACGCCCTCTCATCCTCCCTTCAGCCTCATCCTCACCCCTTCCTCCCGCTCTCTCTGTTTTTCCAAGCTAATCTCGGCTGTGCTATTAGCTGAAGTTGCCATCTGGCCTCTAGTCGCCACACTGGAGAGACACTCGAAAATTGGGAATGAAATCTGGAGGAATCCTCTTAAAGATGCAGCTCTGGAACCCCGGCCTCTTGGAGAAAAAAATGAAAAACGGTTTTCATAACCAACCCCCCCCCGCCCAGACGGGCATCTTTTATTCTTTTTCTTTCTTTCCTCACCTCCTTCGTTATTTGTCTTCACTCTCCTAAACTTAATTTCCACGGCCCTCTCCATCCTTTAGCCTCCTCGTGTCCCAGAATGCACCGAGAAACTCTAATACACCATCAGCGAGGACTTCCGTGAAGTTTCTCTCTTCCTGTGATACATTTTCTCTGAGGAGCATGAAATAGCTTCTCCGTCCCCCCCCCCCTTTTTCCCCTTGCGCCTCCCTCCATCTCTCCCCCTCTTTCTCTCTGCTTTTTATGGCTGACAGAGAGGCTACAGCAGAGATGGGTCCTTGTGATAGAGTAAATGATTGAAGGCGTGCAGATTCGCCCTTCAGGGATAATCCAGTGTGGGGCTGATAGTGGGCAGGTGTGATAAGGGCTTGTGGGCCCTGCCGCTGATAAGACCTTCCATTAGACGGTGCAGAGCCGACCAGACAGCAGAGTGTGGTCAAGCCCCCTATCTCTCTCATCCCACAGACCCGGTCCTGGCCTGTTTCCCCCTTCGGTGTCTCATCTCTCTGGGACTCGTGCCCTAAGATCATGACGTTTATCGAACCTGTCAACTCTGCCCAGTGGCCTGGAAACACACAACCTGTGCGTATGTGCAACGTTCAACGGGCTTCCATTGGGGAATAAAACTTTTTCTTTGGTGACACAAGCTAGGAATCTTCTAAAGACTTGATTGCCAGTCACTCCGATTACATTTACTAGGGTTTAACTGTATACTTTTTGTCTGCCAAAAATGGAGCCATGGGTGGCAACAGCCATGATTCTTAAGCTTCCGTTTGTATCAAGCAGATATCCTTAGCAGAACATTCAGGCCAGGACTTAAAATGAGCTGAAACATTAAGAGGGACAACTTAGCTCAGGCTTCAGTCCTAGCCGCACCGCTCACAGTTTCAACAACTAAATCCTGACGCTGTTTGGTGAATATCGCCCCTCTCTCTCTCCCTAGGGATTGTGAATTTATTTCTTAGATATTCGGTCACAGAGATTTATAAAATATTAAATTGTTGGGGTGCTTGTGGCGCTGTGGTTAGTGCGCGCGCACTATATTGTATATGTATGGAGGCTTTGGTTCGAATCTCACCTGTGGCTCCTTTCCCGCATGACATTCCCTACTCTCTCTCTCTCCCTGATTTCTGAATCTATCCACCGTCCTGTCTCTCAATTAAAGACACAAAAAGTCAAAAAGTGTGTGTAATATGGAGATAAAGTATGAATACAGTTTAGGGTGAAGTTGTGCGTCACATAGGGAGGCTATATTCCTCGACGCAATGGGCGTGGATTCCAGTCCACTCTTGGCCCTTTGCTGCATGCCATCCCCTGATTAATGACCACATAGCATTGTAGTAGCATGTGGTGGATCTGGGGCTGTTGAAAATAGCCCAAAATGCCCTGAGTGATGTCTGCAAGCTTGGTAACAGGATCTAGCTGGCAGGCTCTGTAAGTCCTTTCTCCCTGTTTCATTCACCACAGAGGAGAGGGCGGACTGAGGTCACTTTTCATTTTGATGCAGTCTCGGGCAAAGTAAAAGAGGGAGCAGTCCACCTCTTACAGTCTGCTCATTGGGGACATTAATCCGGCCACACTGCTAATGTTTCCCCACAAATGGATGCACCAAACAATTATCAATATGCCTTTTGAATCATCATAAATAACCCTCATGCTGCCCTCTCCAAAACAGTAACTCAAGTCTGCTTGGTCCGCCTGATTCAGCAGGTATGAAAGTCTTTGGGATCCCTGTTTAAGTGCCTGGATGATATCCAGCAGTAGCGAGGTTATACCACGCTATGTCTGAGGAAGAAAGAAGGTGTGATGAAACGCTTCTTCCTCCAACGGGGTGCTGGATTAAACAACAAAAAGATCCAAATCAGCAATCAGCCACAAAGTCCCCAATCTCATGAATCTTTTATCTCAACTCCAGTGTTTGAACCTGCTGTATGAGTGTGAGTATGTGTGTGTGTGCATATAGGCATTGGTTGCAAATATTTGGTGAGCTCCTATCTTCTTCTATCTGTATCTGTGCAAGGAAGACTGTATAAAATACAGAAATAGAGAGCACAGGGGTGGGAAGGAGAGAGTTTAATCCCCTGACTGTGAGTACAAAGGTGATGAATAAAGATTAGAATTTAAATGTGTGCATTTATGTTTTTCATTTAGGTGTAGCAGGAAGCTGGGGAGATGTGCATTCCATATACAGGTTATGTAAACCATTATTTCCCATGTGGCATGGGGTAAGTAGCCAGTGGGGTTTCTTCAGACGCTGTGAGCACCTATGAATTTTAATGCCTCTGTCTGGTCCCTGTGTCTCTGCTATGGGTGAATTAGCGAAGACTCCGGGCGACGCTTGGGCCTCGCTCTGCATATTTCAGACCCCCTTTCGATATTTCTTCTCTTTTTACTTTTCGAGCTTCTCCTTCACTCTGGGGCCCTAATGAGCTTTGCTCCCTTGTTGTGATCGGCAGCCCAGATGTGCAGTTTGCAGCTGCCAATGCGATGGCGGGGTAGTGTGATGCAAACACACACACCGACAAAGGCCGATGCCAGCTCGTCAAAATCAGTAACGATGCTCAAGAGTACGCCGTCGTTTGCAAACTGCCCTCATCCTTCTTTCTCTTTCTCCTTCTCTATGTCGCCCCTGCAGACCCGCCAGCGTCTCCTCTGAAGTTGTCACCATATCAGGCTTTTCACGTTCAGCACAGGGACCCTCAGAACCGTGATCAATAGCGGTTCCTCAGATCCGCTATCGAGCGAGAGAAAGTAAAGCGGCCACGGGCGTGCGACTGCGTGCCCTGTAGCGTCTCTCCCTTGGCTAACGATGGCAGACAGACTGCGATGCTAAGGATTGTGAAAAAACAACAAGAGGGGGCCATTATGTTGCGGGGTGCAAACAAACTGCACCGCTTCATCAAGGATTAAAGGACTTCAGAGGACAAGAGGAGAAGAGGTACTCTACGAGAGCATGAAGGGGACACAGGAGGAAATAAAGGCAGAAAGGATGCTCATTTCTAGTCAGTGGGCGAGAAGGAAATCAGTGGGTAAGAAAAATGTTCACGAGTTGGAGATCTAGAGAGAGTTTGTCAAAATTTGCGGTGATGTTTCTACTGCAGGAATTTCCCCAGGTATGAAGGACTCCCGGGGGAATGTAAAGCATTAAAACCAGGGTCTGAATAAAGTCTGGGGAGGCTTTACTTTACACCTCAATTCCTCAAATTCCCTGCAAAAGTGGTGGTGGGTAGTATCTTCTGGATGTGCACATGGGAACATGGGATTGGGACTTGCAGACACTAAACAATTCTGATTGGTTGAGAGCTTGCATCTTTACCAAGACTAAGACTACCAAGACTTTACCACAATAAGCAGAATCATTTGCCTTATCTTCACAGGTGTAGACCTGGTTGGAAATGCAGCACCTAAATCAGACTGGAAGCTTCCTAATCCCTGAAAGACTGGAAGTTTTTGGAACTTTTGGTCGGAATACCTGCTCTCCCCCAAAAAGGTCCCTGCCGGGGGGGAGAAGTGTTTTACAAAAGTACAGTGACTTTAGGGTGGCCCTTGCAGCACTGAAGATTTCTGATTGGTGCAATATGGGTGTGGTTCTTTCACAGGTAATGACACAAACACCGGCTAGAGGAACCTTTTTAGCCTTGTTTCCAATGACGTCACCTCAACTTTCAGTCTGCTTGGCATGTAGATGAAAAGAGTCTTCTGAATGCTGCAAGTACTTTTTGACAAACAAGTCCTTTCCGAAGTCCCTGTACCTTCAGGAAGCAATAACCACTAGCAGAGAACTTTTAAGGGGGTAAATAAGATAACATAAAATAGGATGATAATGCACTACATACTATCTAAATTCACTGTCAGAACTCCTTGAACTAGTCACAGGAACTTTTGGTCTACGCAGAGCTATAGTAGAGGTCATGAAGGTGAGGGCAGAAAAAGGGTGAAGACAAAGGAGAAAGAAGCTGCATGGTGCCAGCTCCTGTGTGAAGGACACCGTGATGTGTCCCTTCTTCTAATGATGCCTGCAGCTGTTCCATGACTCCGCTCGCTCTGCTTGGGGCACGAGGTCAGATTGACCCCCCCCGTCAGCGTGAGGGGGGCATGAACTTCACCAGGCCTCGACCCTGTTTTATACCTCTAGATGGAGCTTAGTCCCCTTGCCACAAGGTCCTGGTCTTCAAGCCCCCTTACCACAGCTGCAGAATCAGGACTCACGCTGTCTTTTAAGCAGATGGTCTCCCTTGGCTGACTAATGAGCGCTGGTTGAAAACACGCCGGGAAAAGATTCACGACCTGGGGAGACGGCTGCCTTCTCCTTTCTTTTCCTCCCGTGTCATTAAACTTTGCTCTTCTTCTTCATCATCACTTTCTTGCTTTCTTTTCCTCCCCATGTTTTCATTTACAACTTCAGCAGTTATGAATCCTCCTGAAAAAAAAAAAGCAGAATTCCTCCTGCTCCCTATTTTTCCTCCTCTTAAGCTTTCCTCTTCCCTCTCCTTGTTAAGACGTAGGGTAGGCAGGTTGCACTTATGAGCACAAAAATTGTGTGAATCAAGCTTCTACTTGTCAAGAGAGGAAAGCAGCGCGAGCACAGCAGGACTAATTGTTGCCATCGTAAAAGTCACAGGGGCAGGAAGGAAGAGAGAGAAAGGGAGAGAGAGATGTTATCCTCCTGACTGGAGCAGCTTCATCTCTCCGGGGGGGGAAGAGAAGAAGTGTCGACAGAGAAAGCTGAGGGTTCATCTCGCCTGCCACCTGTACAGTAATTGTCCTCTATTCTGTCACTTGGATTAAGCCAGGCAAGGGCATGCAAATGAGGAGCTAAAAAATTGGCTGCCTAAAAGTCAAGAGCAGGAAACATCAAAGTTGGGCAAGGTATGTGGTGCAATCTCCATAACAAGAGCCGCTTCAGAAAGTGAACCGAAATGAACCCTTTCTTGATAAAAGTTTGAGAGTTAATTAAGAGAAAATATTCAGCTATAGCCTGTGTGTGTGTGTGTGTGTGTGTGTGTGTGTGTGTGTGTGTGTGTGTGTGTGTGTGTTTACCTGGTAGTGCATGAGAGTGTTGAGTCTCTTCCAGTCGTTTTCTATCTTGGTGGTGATGTCTTCATCCTGTAGCACCACACGAGCCATCCGCCCCTGGCGCCACTCTGAGGAAACAAACACACCAAGTTATACACAACTGCGTATGCAAGTTATACATCGTGGTTAGCCTGAAAAGAAAATGTAATTTGTCTTGGTTTCAGTTGTGGTTTGAGTTCAGTGTCGTGTGTAATGACTACATATGAAAACATCCATGTGGTAGAGAGACACATCTGCTTTGAGTTAGCATGTGGGTACAGTGGATTAGTTGGGTGTGTGCTTTCAGCCTCTGTAGCGTTTTGACAGGGAGGAGTTTATTACATGTAATTAAAATCGCAACTTAAAGCTACTGTGAGGAGATTTCATGCTTTTGTGAAACAGAGTGGAATTAACGCTAATGTCTCTTTATAGGGTAAAAAAAGTCAAACAGAACATCAGCGACAACATTGATCCTTTTTTTTAGAGTTATATACAAAGTCTGACATTTTTGCAGTGAGGTAGGTGTCAGACTCAATGGATTATCTGCATGCTTTGACAACCTCTGGTCGTAAAAGAAAGGTAAAGTGCTCGTTAAAAAATATTTTCTGTGCCAAATTGTGGCCAAATACTTAAAAATCTAGATTTATTTACAAAATCACAGTTGCACCTATTTATTTCCCAGATGGGACTGTTTTATGCAGAACAGGTTTTGGTCTAAGGTGTATTCTAGGAACTAGATTGTAAGAATTTCTTTTGGCTGTAGAGCGTTTGTTTAATTCAGAATCTGAAACTGTAAATACTTCCTATATCAGGTGTCAATTTGTTATCGGTTTTTAATGATTGTGATTGGTTAAAACACGTTCAGAGAAGCTGTTGCAAGCTTTTGATTGACTGAAAAATCCTTGCATGTGTCTGACTTTCAAACATTGTACACAAAACCAAAGCAGAGGATCCTTACACTCCGTGCTTTGCACTTTCAACAAGTATTTTTGTTCACAGGTTTAGTTAACCAATCCAAATTCTCTCTGGCTGCCTTTACCCAGAATTCAACTTTTTTCCAGAGTGTTCTTTCTATCTTATGTTACATGCAGGGTAGTTGTGAACTCTGCTAATGTAACCAAAACTTTCCTTATGACACTGAAGCACCTCTTTTCAAAGCTCATTTGCCTTTCACTCAGTGAAACATCCACCTGTACGACTCCCAGAGAGAGAGAGCTCTCTTCACACATTAAAAGATATGAGAATCCAGGGCTCTCGTACAGCCCTTTACGAGTGTGTGTGTGTGTGTGTGTGTGTGTGTGTGTGTGTGTGTGTGTGTGTGTGTATTCTCTCACAGACTTGGATTGACACGGATCTTAATTAAACATTACACACGAACATTTTCAAGATGTATATGCAGGCAGGCTGCACGCTTTAATTGGTACTTGTGTCGCAAGAAATGGCGTGACATTAGCATACGCAGCAGTCAGCCCGTCAGGGTCAGAAAGACGAGAGGAGTAAGAGCAGACAGGGAGGGATGAGAAAATCACCTTATTTAAAAAGAAAGAGAATAGGAAGGGGGGGCAGGTGGAGGCTTTGAGGAGTGCGGGTGGAGAAGAGGAGCTGACGGCTCGTTGTGGGGTAATGAAATGATAATAAGGGTGTTGACGGGGAAGTGGACAGCCATCGAGGCTCTCATGCTGGGAGTGATCATTGATTTTCTTCTCTGTTGACTGGGTTTTATTACTGTGTGCCTCTGCCAGGTGACCACATGATATTGCTGCCTGGCAACCGTCTAACATTTCAACAACAAAAAAAAAACACACATACGGACATGTGCAGCGGACTCAATCATTTTCAAGGCATCAGATAAAGGGCGAGAAAACTGGAATGCAACTTGTGATTATTTTAATCTCTGATTAATCTGTTGATTCTTTTCACAATTGTTTATTGAATCTCTTAGTCTATAAAAAGTCTTAAATTGGGGAAAAGCGCAACAAAACCTCCCAAAAATCGAAAAGTGACGTCTTCAATTAGCGTCCTTTGTCTAAAACCCAGAACTCCATACATGACAAAGAAAAGCAGACAATTGTTAGAATTAAGACGCAGAAACCAGTAAATGTTTAACATGTTTGCTGGAAGATTGACTGGAACGTCCCTAATCAACTATCCTAACAACTCGTGATTAATTTTCTTCCAACCGTTGAATCGATTCAGTGATTCATCGCGGCAGCTCGAAATGAAAAATGAACAAAAGAGAACGAACACAGAACAGTGGACGGACAGAGGGGAAATATGGTGGAGGATGGACAAAAAGGGGGGTGATTTCCAGCAGCCATGGGCAGGGCGTTTTGTTTTCTCCCCCCCCCTCCATGCAGAATTGGGGGAATTGAGAAAAACAGGGGGAAAAAAAATTAAAAGGCAAGGTACCGACTGGAGAGAATGAAAGTGGCAGACTGCGTGGGAGTGGAGCCCGGTGTGAGGCTGCCGAGCCCGTCTGTCAGCTCTTACCTGGGTCAGCCAGACAGCCACGTCACAGACACACAAATACACACACAAAGACATGCATACTCCTCTGTCTCAATCTACTGCATCTTATTGGCAGCGGCGGGCAGCTGAAGCAGCCAGACGGAGGGATGCACACACACACACACACACACACACACACACACACACACACACACACACACACACACACACTGTCAGTCAGTCTGATAGAAGGCCTGGCAGCAGCACACGGAGGCTGGCTGTGCTGCTGGAACACAGCTTTTATCACACTAATGCACTGATAATCTGTACACATGGCTAGCTTTTCTCTCACTGATACATTAATCTGCAGGTGTGAAGGACTTTACACCTGCTCACTGCTTCTGTGGCTGTCTCTGTGTGCGGGTAAAAGTGTGTGTTGGTGCCATACCGAGGTCCATGTCGACAGCTCGCGGCCGCTGAGAGTAGGGCATGTTCTTGTAGACGGCGTCCAGGATCTTCTCCTTCACCTGGGTGATGGTGTCGCAGTTCAGCACCTTCACGGGAATCTCCGGACTGTTTTCGTTGTCGGGGTTCACACAGTTCAGTATCTGGAATGTGCAGATCGGGGGGAGAGAGGAGAAGGGAAAAAAAAAAAAATCACAGAAGGAAAATAAAGAGCGAGAGCCACAGGGCTAGAGGGGTCCTGATACTGGTTGGAACTCGGGTCCAAATGGAGGCTTCGCTCTCATTAAAGTCTCCTCGGAGCATGGCAGCAGCTCTGAGAAAAACCATTTCCGCTCGCGCTGGCAACCCAAAATCTAATTTCACACCTTCGGCGGGACACCAATTTCCAGCTCTGCCGGGGTATTAGCACGTAATGAGCCAAACTCCCGGTCGGAGCAATCAGAGCATTGTCATGTCGCATGCTGGCTGTGCGAGTTTTACTGTGTGTGTGTGTGTGTGTGTGTGTGTGTGTGTGTGTGTGTGTGTGTGTGTGTGTGTGTGTGTGTGTGTGTGTGTGTGTGTGTGTGTGTGTGTGTGTTCTGATCTCATCACAGCCACCTAGCCTGTTGTTGGACCAACACTGGAGCCTCTGGGATCTTTAGTTAATGTTTTTCTGTGTGTAAAAAAAAAAAAAAAAGACTAACACAGGTGAGACAGAAGAATAATGGCATTTCAAACACGCAGCTATAAGTGCAAGAAAAATTCATAGTTTGACACCCCTAATTTAAAGTCTTCTGCCGCTTCAATCCGTGATTGACATGCTGTGGACGTTGGAGGACTTTTGGAGCATTAAGCAGAAAGGCCAACCTGACAGGTGGCAAAAAATATTTCTTCAGAGGTGGGTACATGCTTAAAGTCGACATTTTGAAAGGGTTACCCGTTAGAAAATATTTACTTAATATTAATAATCGTCCTGCTTTATTCCTGTATTTAATTTAACTTAATTATAATTTTTGTTTGTCAGGTCTGTTTTGTTTTTTGTCTTGCATTGATAGTGTTACCCTTGTTGGGTATTGTTCTATATAATTTATTGTCTGGTATTGTACTGTTGTAAAACATTTGAGAACGATAAAAATGTTGGTCATATAAAGAAAATATTTACTTTAGCATATTGAAACAAAATTCAAAAACTCGTGTTTGTATCTCAGCCTGGCAGAATTTAACAGGGCAGAGCCTGTGTGTTCTGGTTTCTGTTTGAGTGTGTGAGGCTGTGAACGGGGCTTCTTGTGTGTCGTACCAGAGTCTTGTACTCGATCTGCTGGCGGATGAGCTTGTCTTCACTTAGGGAGTAGCGGGCCTCTCCAGTGATGGCGTCGATGGGCCCCTTTTCCATCTGCTGCTTGATGGCGCAGTACAGCATGAACAGAGGCTCCCCGGCACACTCCTGTAAACACAGACACACACACACACAGATTAACACATGAGAGAACTTCACAGCATAAACACTAAAATTACCAGACTGAAAACATCTTAAAGTTCTAATTCTGTACAGATCTGCTGATTTGTAATCATGCTTTTTATACAGAAATTTAACAAGAAGATATTTATATATGCATCTGTAAACACACACACGCTGCATGTGTTGCTTGGTGTACTAACCTTGAGGAATTTGTGAAGTAGGAAGGCAAACCAGTTTGTAAGCATCTTCTCTGCAACAGATTCAGTCCTGAAATTTGCATAAACAAACAGGAAAAAAACAAATTTTAACTCTCATTTCTTCACTTGATATTTTCCAACTTTCAGATAATACAACGCTTTAATAATTCATGGAGTTATGTGCGAGACTTCAGGAAGGTTATCTTGGTATCCTGGGCGGGTTGCATCCTGCTCGTGTACTGTCTGAAACGCTGTGGTCACAGTGAGTGAGCAGAACAGAGCGGAGCAGACAGAGGGCATATGTGTGTTTGCATGGTTCATGTGCGTGCAAAAAAAAAAAAGTGTGTATGCATGGCATGTGAGTATGAGCGACTGTGTGTGTGTGTGTGTTCACGTGTGGTTGCACACAGTGGGACATCAGCAGCTGTGACAAGCCTCAGCTGCTGAGAGAGACGAGCGCTGTCACAGCCAGGTAACGCCTGATCACAGCCAAAACCATCTCCTCGCCTCTCATTTCCTCCTTCCTCCCCTCTCTCTCTCCCCCCCCCCCTCAGTCAATCACACATGGAGGTGCAGCCTGCTGCCGGGCTTGATTGGGCATGAAAACACACAAGTGTGCGATGACCTCTCGACTATTTCTACCAGAGAGCACACGAGAGGGGCTGTGTACACCTCCTTTATGACTCTCTCTCTCTCACATCTTTCTCTGGATGCTGGACAAACATTGCCCCCTCTGCCTCATTAGCACCATCATGGGAGAGGAGAGAAACAGAATTTAAAAAAAAAAAACAGACAGAGATTGCAAACAGCCAGGTGGGAACGGTTAACAAGCATGAAGCTTAGATGAAAGGGTTAGTGTGTGCAGCTTCGTGTGGACGAGCACCTGAGGTGAATGGAAACAACTCACTCACACCTCATCGTATCAACAAAAAAATTCTTCTGTCCTGATCTTTTGTTTGACTACTTAGCAGGCCTGCATGCAGAGAGGATTAACCCCTTCATGCATGAACACTGAGATTTTCTTTAAAATACTCTCAGCGAAACTTTGAAATATTTTTCCATTATTTTTATTTTTTTGTGTTACATTCACTCTAATGGACACTTTCAACATCAGAACTGGTAACCTGAGAGAATATGTTGCTATACTGTAACCACGGAAACAAAAAATGAAACGTAAGGACTTTTTAATATGTTTTTTGTAATAACCTAAAAGTATTTATAAAGCAGATTTAAAACAACAAAAGTTGACTAAAGTGCTGTACAATCAAACTATTACTTTTTGACCGGTGAATAAATCGCACAATATTGCCGCATCATATCTGCAATAAAATTAGCCGATAATGATAATCACTTGATATGCCATTATCAGCCGATATTATCGGTCGAGCTCTAAAAAAAAAAATGGAAATCTCATCTGGTTTGTCCTGCATCTCCTTTTCTCTCCGCCCTCAGTATACCATGAGCACCTGGTCTTTTGGACATGGTGCTACATCTGACATTGATTTTTCAGGATTGAATTTTGGGTCCACGCAATCATCGCTGTAAGCTGCAGCAGCTCTTTCATAGCTCTTAGATGCAGCGATCACAATTTCACAAGAATACAAGATTAGCCGCCCTACAATTGTGTTAACCTTGCGATGTTCACATGGCGGTAACCGATCTCTCCCCATCAGTTTGTGCTCAGTTGTTGCAAATATAAATGGCAATGCACTGAACAAAAGACCCTGTTAATGTCGCAAGAAAATGACTGATTACTCTGGTGTATATACGATGGAGAGGCCTCACTGTGCTGAACCGAGGGTGAGGAGGAATCAAAAGCAGCCAGGTATTAAAGACAAGCGAGAAGGCTTCCGTCTCCTTACAGCTAAATAGTGGCAGAGATGATTATACCTATTCAGGCTCTGAATGGACCTAAAGGGAGATTATGACTATTATGGAGATAATTTCGTAACGTCGTGTTTGAGGGCTATAAGCAAGAGTCTGGGACCGGAGAAGTAGTCCCAGAAGGATTGTCTGAGCCAGAGGAGGTTAAGACAGCTAACATTTTAGTCACTGAGACAAGACAAAGTGTCAGTCATTCTCTCCGTCTCATTAAATTGAGATTGAGGGAGATTTCTCCTTTCTTCAATGCAAATACAGAACTTTTCTGCAGTTGTTAAGACAGTGGAGCAGAGGTTATGTTTTGTTTGGGGAGTTGAGCTGTGTAGTTGTGATGCTGGGAGGAAGCCCTTTGAGAACAAGACTGTGTATTGGCCAGACTACAGGCAGCTTGCAGACAGAATGGAGAACTGGAGGACAGTCTATTTATTTATTTGTTTATTTAAAGTGTGATGTGCCAGCGGGGCGGAGAGATGTAGATTATTTCCCTTGTTTTAATTACAAAAAGAGAAGCCGACATAGACTTGATAAAGAACTGGCTGAACTCCCATGATGTCACCTGTTTCTGAACGCTCGTTTTGAAGCGTTGAGTGTGGCATTTCTGCCGTCACCATCTTGATTGGATCTTGCGACCTTATTGATATTCATCGCGACGTCCCTACTCTTGTTGAAACCATGTGAAGCCATGTCCTATACTGACCCTGCTTTATAAGCCTTTTTATTTCAGTATTTATACAATCACACTTCTGTTTGTAACTATTTGAGTCTCCCCCTGGTGGCCATTAAAAAAAGGGCAGGTTTAAGAAATTTCACATCGATTTCACTTTTAACATCTGAGGCCCAATTTTTTTTGGTAATCGTGGATAAAGTGGACGTAAGGAGTTTCCTCCAGAGTTTGACTGTGCTCAGCCTTAGAGATAGGGTGAGGAACTCACATTCGAGGGGAGCTCGAAATAGAGCCGCCCTTCCATTGCCTCAAAAGGAGCCACTTGAGTTGGTTCTGGCATCTGATAAGGACGCCACCTGGACGCCTCCCTTTGGAGGTGTTCTGGGCACGGCCTACTGGGAGGAGACCCCATTGGTAGACCCAGACTTCGCTTGAGGGATTTTATATCCTGTCTGGCCTGGGAACACCTCAGAATCCCCCAGAAGGAGCTGCAAAGCGTCGCTGGGGAGACGGAAGTCAAGGTTGACCTACTTCACCTGCTGCCAACGCGACCCGACCTCGGATAAGTGGAAGAAAATGGAATGGATGGAGGTGTTCTCTTTGTCATTTGACATTGTAGCATCATGCCAATCACAGGAAGCCATGCCCTGAAGCAGACCTTGCTTTATCTTTGATTTTACTTTAAATGGGAATACAATATACATATTATAATTCACGTTTTAATAAAAAGGACAGTAAACAGGCAAACGAGACCAAAGAGTCATTAACAAGACGATCGATTTGGTAATAAATCATCTGAGATGTGAGATTATTTCTCATCTTGTTTTACACACTCAGACCTCATTTTGCATAGTTAATGAAGTCTCCCCCTAGTGGCCACTAGAAAGAGTGCAGGTTTAAGGCACTTTCGCATTGGCTTCACTTTTATAATCGGATGAAGTGTCCATTTTTTATTCATCTAGCTCAACGTTTTTTTGTCCCTCTGAAATAAACAAACACACAGTGAAAGGTTTTCATACAAAAAGAAAAAAGAAAGGAGGACAAACAGTACGCAGAAGCTCAACCTTGCAAAGCTGCAAAACAGAAAAAGTCATAAACATAATAAAGAGCCACTATGAGAGCCTGAGGCTGCATTTTCACGCTGAATAAACCTAAACATAGCGTGGATTTTTTTGGACAATACCCCAAATCCCCCTGTAATTGCCCTCCTTCCTCTAAGAGAATCCATGTTTACCCCCCCCCCACCACCACCACCTCCCCACCATTGCTTACCATGTACTCCTCCCAGCTTGTATTAAACTTGAGTGTGTTAGAAGTTAATGGAACCTATTAAGCTTTTTAATAAGCTCAGCAAGTCCCAAAGAAGGAAGTCAAATAAAGCTTTTTTTTCAAGGGGGCTGTGCAGACTCCCCCTTAATATATCTCCCTTTGAATGTACGGGGGGGAGACGTACTTTGTTCTCCTCCTTCTCCCTTTCTTCTTGTCCTCCTTCTCCTCAGCTGCCTCCACTTCCTACTTTCTATTAATTGAGTTTCATTAATGAACATCAGGATTTCATTATCCCACATGGTGTTTAAGAGGGGGCTTCTTACACCCACCGCCCCCCAATCTCCGCTCTACTAATGGCAGAGTCGGGGGTAGGGGGTTGGGGTGGGTTTATTAGCAGGCAGCGGAATGTCTTTCAATGAGACTAATGCCAAACACAATACGTGCTCTCTTAATAACTCTGTACTCCATTGCTCTGCATGGGCGGAAATCTCATTAGAAAAATGCTGAGGAGAAAAATAATACAAGATTGAAAAGTCTCAAGGTGATGGAAGCAATGTTCTGTGATTCCATTAAAAGAACATTACAAAGAAAAGAACGGGAAATGGGTAAAAAAAAAAAAGAGCAGCTTTGGTAAAACTTAAGAAGAAGATGGAGAGAACAGATAATAGTTCAATGTGAAAAAGAAGCAATGTGCTATTCCAGAAGGTTCTGGTTGGGATCATCAAACACACGAGGAGTTTCTGTAATAAATGGACGAGGGGAAAAGAGAGAGCAGCGCTGTGTAATGGCATAAACTCTCTATTAGGAAGGCTAGGGTGAGCGCCGAAGATGTTTATTACACAGAGAAAGTGGACATATTTCCCGAATGTAGCAAAATACAATCCAAACAGCATGAGGAGAAGCATCATTTCCACTGAGCGCATGCAGAGTGAGGGAATCCAACGCGCCGTCGAAGCTCAGATATATTGCTTTCAAAGAGCTTTTAGCGGAATGTAAGTGTCTGCTGTGCAGCTCAAATCTTTTCCTATCAAGACAAAGAAAAGCAGAAGGCATTCACAAATCTTTAAATACCAAAGAGAGCAGAGTGTCTTTGAAAAACGAGCCTCGCAGGAGCACAAGTGCGCCCTTCAGACGTGATTCCAGGAATTTTACAGACAGGGTACATTATACCTCTGATCCAAAAAGGCTTGAACAGCACAAGAGTTGTTTTGTACAGATACAGATATGATATGAAATCGACCAAAATTCAAGATGTG